ACTAATTCTTTATTTAAAGTTAAGTTCTTTTAGTTCATCATATAGTTCAACTAATTCTTTATTTAAAGATAAGTTCTTTTAGTTTGTTTTTGTTAGGGTCGTAAGTCAAATTGTCATTAGTTTTTTTTTAAGTTAAATATAGAACATATATGTTCTAAAGAATATATTCTTTTTTTAAGATCAGTTCTTTTTTTTTCTTAGGGGTCGTAAATCAAAATTTGTTTAGATTCTTTTTGTCAGCGCAAATCTTGTTTAAGTTGGAGATGGAACTAATTCTTTTTTAAAGATCAGTTATTTTTTTTGTTAGGGATCGTAAATCAAATTTTTTTTAGATTCTATTTGTTAGGGCAAATCTTGTTTAAGTTGGAGATGAAACTAATTCTTTATTTAAAGTTAAGTTCTTTTATTTCGTTTTTGTTGGAGATGAAACTAATTCTTTATTTAAAGTTCTTTTAGTTCGTTTTTGTTAGGGGTCGTAAGTCAAATTGTCATTAATTTTTTTTTAAGTTGGATATGGAACTTATTCTTTTTTAAAGATCAGTTCTTTTTTTTTAGGGGTCGTAAATCAAAATTTTTTTAGATTCTTTTTGTCAGCGCAAATCTTGTTTAAGTTGGAGATGGAACTAATTCTTTATTTAAAGTTAAGTTCTTTTATTTCGTTTTTGTTGGAGATGAAACTAATTCTTTATTTAAAGTTCTTTTAGTTCGTTTTTGTTAGGGGTCGTAAGTCAAATTGTCATTAATTTTTTTTAAGTTGGATATGAAACTTATTCTTTTTTAAAGATCAGTTATTTTTTTGTTAGGGATCGTAAATCAAAACTTTTTTAGATTCTATTTGCTAGGTCAAATCTTGTTTAAGTTGGAGATGAAACTAATTCTTTATTTAAAGTTCTTTTAGTTTGTTTTTGTAAGGGGTCGTAAGTCAAATTGTCATTAGTTTTTTTTAAGTTAAATATGGAACTTATTCTTTTTTAAAGATCAGTTCTTTTTTTTTAGGGGTCGTAAATCAAAATTTTTTTAGATTCTTTTTGTCAGCGCAAATCTTGTTTAAGTTGGAGATGGAACTAATTCTTTATTTAAAGTTAAGTTCTTTTAGTTCGTTTTTGTTAGGGGTCGTAAGTCAAATTGTCATTAATTTTTTTTAAGTTGGATATGGAACGTTTTCTTTTTTAAAGATCAGTTATTTTTTTTTGTCAGGGGTCGTAAATCAAAACTTTTTTAGATTCTATTTGTTAGAGCAAATCTTGTTTATGTTGGAGATGAAACTAATTCTTTATTTAAAGTTCTTTTAGTTTGTTTTTGTTAGGGGTCGTAAGTCAAATTGTCATTAGTTTTTTTTAAGTTGGATATGGAACTTATTCTTTTTTAAAGATCAGTTTTGTTTTTCTTAGGGGTCGTAAATCAAAATTTTTTTAGATTCTTTTTGTCAGCGCAAATCTTGTTTAAGTTGGAGATGGAACTTATTCTTTATTTAAAGTTAAATTCTTTTAGTTCGTTTTTGTGGGGTCGTAAGTCAAATTTTCATTAGTTTTTTTTAAGTTGGATATAAAACTTATTCTTTTTTTAAAGATTAGTTGTTATACTTTGTTTTTGTAGGGATTGTAGATCAAAATTTTGTTTAGATTCTTTTTGTTAGGGCAAATATGGAACTAATTCTTTATCTGGGATCTGGGATCTGGGGTTCGTTTTTGTTAGGGGTCGTAAGTAATATTATTATTAGATTCTTTAAGTTGAATATGGAACTTATTCTTTTTTTAAAGATCAGTTCTTTTACTTCGTTTTTGTAGGGATCATAGGTCAAAATTTTGTTTAAATTCTTTTCTTCAGGTCAAATTTCAAGTTGGAGATGAAACTAATTCGTTATTTGTTCGCTTTTGGGTAGGACACATATTTTTTAAATTCTTTTCGTCGTTTTAGTCTGTTTTAGATGGCGATTATCCTATGGAACCAGGCGCCCAGGAGTTTCCTATAAAACCCTCCTTTTTATTCCTTCCATTTAGACCCATTTTAGTTCAATTTCACAATCTTCAGATTGTTGAATTAAATTAAAATGGTAGATGGATCTTGAAAGTACTTTCTGGATTTTGTCTCGGAACATCGGTAATCCGTGCTAAGTTAGCACTGCTAACCCGTTTTTAACGTGGAGCATGTTGTTGCGCACCGGCGCTAATCTATTTGTAACTTAATTATCTGTCGTTTTCCTTTTCTACCCTTCCTATTACCCTAATTCCTTCGATTGGACCTGACGTGGACATCTTGGACTTCTTGGAACTTCAGGGTGCGAGTGAATCTTATATGCGAGTATGTATACAACCAGTATATTTGTTTTTTTCGTGTTTTTGTTTAATTAAATACTTTATCTGTTTTAGGATATTTTAGGTATATAATATGATAAGGAGGGTGGAGGGTAACTCCGCCAGGTATTTTTAACCTGCCGGTCCCAAGCCCGGATAAAGGAGGAGGGCCCTCACTCTTTTCTTTTTTTTAGTTTGTTTTCGTCGGGTCAAATCTTGTTTAGGTTGTAGATGGCACTTTAGTGGTTTTTGTCAGGTTGGAACTTTTTCTTTTTTAAAGATCAGTTCTTTTATTTCCTTTTAGTATAGACTTCCTATTTAGCCCCTTGTTTAGGTAGGAAATTGAACTTTACTATAAAGTACATAAGTCAAATCTCTTTTAGGCAGGGTTCCCAGACAGCAATATGACGTCTTAATTAAGTCTGCATAAGCTCTATTTTATGATTTGGACTTCAAATACAACATTAGAAAGAAGTTTTTAAGAAGTTCTTAAGACTTCGAATGCGCCACCTATTGAACTAATCAAGACTTCTCAAAAAAGAACTCTTGTGGAACTTTTGTTAATATAAAAAACAAAGAAGTTACAATCAAAAATGCTACTTTTTTGTGATAAAAAATCTCCGCTAGTTGTCTTACTACGACAATATTATTGTTGGTTCAAGCAACTAAAAAATACAACTTTCTCATCTTAATCATTAAAAATTTGTTTATGTGCCCTGAAAAAATCTAAATATAATATTAAACTTACAATAAAGTGACAGAACCATATTTTTTTTATTAACTTTAATACCCTGTATCTTGAAAACAAAGCTTTAGAGCTTACAAGTTCTTATACCTACATTTTTCTTCCTATTTTTTAAGTTCGATTACAAAATTTTCACGAATAAAATAATAATACAGGTACAATTTATTATTATATTATTACAATTTAATTTATTATTATATTATGTTCTGTGATTGTCGTGCCACCATTTTAAGTTAAGGGGTACGGCAGTGATGACGTTTTTTATCTATTACGTTACTAGCGTGCCCGTAAAAAATAAATTGCAGGCACTCTAACGTGCACCTAGTCACTTTGTTGTTTATTTTGTTATTTTTATTTTTATGGTTATGTTTTTTCAAAACTTTTTTGTTAACTATAGCCAGGACCGGCTTAAAATTTAATTAAATTTTGAAAGGCTATAACTTATTTTTGAGTTTTGATAAAAAAGTTACTTAAAATATTTATTTGTCTATCTAATTTCTACACGCTGTTAAAAGGAACGAGTCAACTTAAAACTCACCCAGTATATTCAATTTAAACTATATTTTATAATTTATTTCATCTTGTTTTCTGTGAGGATGGGATATGCTTAGTATAATTAGCTGATCATAGTATAATTTTGGTGGCCAAACTTAATTTTATATTTCTTTATGATCATTAATTATAATTATTAATTACTATTTAATATTAACATTAATAATAGCTAAAATTTGTAGTTTTATTTTTCTTCTTTATTGTGTTGAAAATTGTAGTAGTTAATAAATGGTTATTCAACTTCGACAAGATCATTTTCAATCTTAAAATTATGAAAAATTATTTGAGGAATAAAATGTCGCAACACAGACTTTCTAGTTTAGCAATTTTATAAGCCAGAACCTTGGTAAAATAATTTTGTTTGCAAATTAAAAGGCAAGAAAAGTAGATATTTTTTAAAATAAATCAATTCAATTAAATTTGTCAGATTAAGAACTAGGGATCGACCGATATGATTTTTGTAGTCGATACCAAAATATCGGCCCTATAAAAATTTTACGTTAATTTTTTGCTATATATATTAGGTAAAACTGACTTAATAAAGATAATAAATAGATATCGATATACTGTTACCGTTTGACACGGCTTAACCATAAAAACTGCTAAAATAAAAAAGAACGCATAACAAATTTAATGTTTTGGTGGCGAATCCCCGAATTTAGCACTAGATACCCTTGGAAACAGTAAATTAATAAAACTTCTAGTATTAGTTCTAACATGAATCGTTTTATTGTGCGTCTCTATCCATTTCACAGTCGTCATCTTTACAAGAGTCTGGTTCATTATCTTCAATAGGTAGATAACTTAATCCTTAGAAACTGAAATATTTAGCAATTTATATTTTTGTTAGGCCGATTTCGAACTTTACATATTGGCCAATCAAGATATCGATCGATCCCTATAGAACAGTGCATGTCCAAAATTTTTATTTTTACAAATCATTTTCTAAAATTAATTTAAAAGCATGTTTGTGAGAAAATTATAAATTATTTTACCACATTTAATTGTTAAATTTTATTAGGTATTATTATTTGAAATATTCACACGAAAATGCATTTTAAACTATAAAACTGAGTTTATGAAATAATTTGTTGAAATTTTAACTTTTGGACGTGTACTTTTCTTTATCTCAATGATTTAATTAGGATTAATTTTTAACACTTTTGTCACCAATTACCATAATTTTTTGTGCCATACATATTTTTGTTTTAAATTGAACTCTTTGAAATTATTATAAATGGGGCCCACTGTGGTCTTGCACCAAGACCTGGTTGCGACTTGCTACATCCCTGGCAAAGTAAGTTGACTAAACAAATGCATATCTTTAAACTTAAGTACTTTGGCATGTTTACAAATCCATATGAAACTTTGTATCCTGCAGTTTATACAAAAATAGATAATTATTTTACCTAAATTCCATACAACGAGCAGAACCAATAACAGTACCACCCAAATGAATAATAGAACTAACACTGGACCAATTGGCTTCTACAATGAATTCCTCACCATCAACCATTCCTTAAAAATAATATTTTATTAATATTGTTCATCTTATAATTTTTGAAAAATACCTTGGTAGCCTTCTTTGATAAAGTAAACTTTACATCCCAAATAAATTCCCATACGTACTACAGCCCTTACAGCTGCATTCATGCCCTACAAAATAAATTAATCCATTTAATTATCTGACTAATTAAAAGTTATTTAAACACTTGAAAATAAGGTAAATAAGGTTATAATTTCAAAATTTAAACTAACCTGTGAATCTCCTCCACTGGTAAATACTGCGATACCCTTGCCCTTATAGGCCCCCCGTTCCACGAATTTCTCCCCCGTTTTTTCAGTCATTTTGGCCTGAAATTACGAAAAACTCAAAAACTGTCAGATTTTCCTCACTAAAAATTCATCAAAACCAACGAAAATAGTCCATTGGTTACTTACTGCTGCCCTAAGCCGGTATAAACAGTAATTTTGTTATTTATTTCCCAATTTTCAAAAGCCGCACACAGAAGTTATTCAAAATACAGACAAATTTAGTTCTTCAAGGTGACCCCTGTCCATACCTTTCCAAATCTGACGTCTGATTGGTCGAGAATCGTGGAATTTCGACTCCACCCCACCAATTAAGAACCTAGGCGACTTTTGAACTACGATTTCGATGTTATTTGGACTACTGGGTTTAGCAGGTCCGGGTTAAAAGTTTAGTTGAATTTCCTTAGATAAAGAATAATTATGAAGCAAACATGCAAAAGCCGATAAATCCATTTTAACTTATTCTGAAATATTGGCCAAAAATATTTAAAAAATTCCAAAAGGGAATGTTGCTCCTGTTGTGTTGTCTGTTTTAGTTTACCAAAATTAGTAAGAATCAGTACTATCCTCTTAAAACGTAAAAATGGATTTATCGGTTTTTGCATGTTTGCTCCACAATTATGTATTATAATATCATTGAGTGAATCAACAATTATATAAGGTCTATGATAGTTTAACAATGAAAATTTCATTATTTACAGGGTTGGGTTTTAGTAAAAGCCTGAAGTAAAAATAATTTAACGTTTATTCTTATTTGTAAAAATATAATTATTTAAACTTAACAATATTTTACCTACAGCAAATATTTTATATTTGCCATTTATGCATGACTAGCATATAATTTTGCTAGTTCTCTTCTAGTTTTGACCAAAATTCTGTGTCCATGACAGTCAAGGTTTTCTATGTAACATTTGTCTTTACAGCATTTTTTACATAGTTTAAAACCGCATTTAGAACCCTAAAAATAAAAATTATTAGGTATCTTAAAAAGTTGTAATATATTGGGTGACTTGAGTTTAATTGAATTGTAATTTCTTTATTTTAAGGACGTTTTAAGAATAAAAACATAACATTTGTTAATAATAAGAAAGTTATGATGATTTAGACTTTAAAGCTGTCAACTTTAATTAGCTTTGCTTTGCTAAATGCCTGGTTTATTTTGTCATAACAACCCTTAGATATACAAGCACAGTGTTGCCAAGTTTTTTTAAACTTAAATTAAGCGGTTTCTGAGTTAATAAGATAAATTAAAAACTGTGTCAAAAAAAGAATTATTGTTTTTATAGTTGGTGGGCCATTTTTAGGACACCCTGCACAAAAACTTACCAAAGGATTAACACAAATAGAACATTTTTCCATAGGTCTTTCTGGGAGATCAGAAGGTTTTTCTGGTCTTCTATTAATTCTTCTTAACTTTTTCATTTTCTTTCTACTAATAGGATTTCCCTCTGCATCTTCATATTGTCGTTTAGCTTCATTCTAAAAGAAAATTGCATAAAATTAAGTTATATGAATAAGACATTTTAATCCTTTACATTCTCATTGCCTTTAATTTTTTCCTCCACTTTTTTAATATGATTTTCAGGTGTATCTCTCACATAAGACTGGCACAACCAAGGGGGTAGAATTAAATTTTGTGTATCAGTCTCAAAAGTTTCTTCCCAGACTTTCAAACCTTCATGGTATGGTGAATATAAATCTCTTAATTCATTTATAATTGTCCTAAACTGTTCCAATGTATTGGCTGCGCCCAACTTAATTCTCATTGGGTTATTTTCAGGAATTGCTAAACTAAATAATAGAGATTAGGTAAGGAATATTCATTCATTAACTATACTTACACATGTTGAAATAATTTAAATAAATGTCCTCTTATGTAGGATAGTGGTGCTGGGTATGTTTCTATTAAGTCTAAATATTCTAAGGCAGGTTTCCATGCAGGAGGATTGTCAAACATAAATAAAGCTGGATTATACAAATTTCCTTCTGCTGTCATAACTCCAAATGCTCCTGTTTCTTCTAAACAATTTAACACATCTTGCATACATTGTATGTTTCCATTTGATATTACAGGTATTTGTACAGCCTCTCTTAAATATGAGTATATTAAATTTAATTTTATTAATTATATTAAATTTAATTTTATTAATTATTAATTAATATAAATAGACTAAATTACCTTACAGCTTTCACATAGGACCAATCTGCTAGGCCTGTTAAGGGGCCTTTCTGTTCCCTGGTTCTACCATGAACAGTTAACATTTTACATCCAGCTTTTTCAAGCATTTTAGCATATTTTATAGTCTTTTCTTTACTTTCAAATCGTCTAACTTTACAGGTAATAGGTACTTTTATATTTTTAGTAAGTGTGCTTACTATATCTTCTAATAAGGGCCATTCGTCTTGCAAAAATGAACCATAATGACCCCTTTTGGCAATGGCTTGTGGACATCCCAAGTTAATATCTATAGCACAACAGAAATCCTCTGCTAATTTGGCTGCTTCCAACAAAGTATTGACATCATTTCCGCAAAACTAAATTTAAATTTAAAATCAATTGTTATTTTTAAATAATTAAATATAAGTTACCTGGACTATAAGAGGTTTGTCTTCTTCACAGGAAGCCAATGCTTCTCTTCTATATTTAGGATCTTTGCAAAATATTGCACTATGCAACATTGGTGTGTAACATAGTTCGGCCCCATACCTTCTACTCAGTATTCTCCAAGGCAGTTCGCTTGCGTCCACCATAGGCGCTACTATTTTTGTTGGTGCTCCCAAAGTTTCTTTCCAAAAATCCATGGTTTTCTTATATTTTGCACGACTTTTTCATTAAAATCTAACCTAAAACGTCAAAACATATGGCATTTGTTACTAGTGCCATCTAGTAGTTTTTTTTCGAAGTTGGTAGATGCACAGTGGAAATCACCGTTTGTTTGATGGTAGAAATACAGTGGGACAAATTTTAAAAATAGTTTTAACCTAGCGTTTTACCATTGATTACTCTCTCAACGGTTTTACTCTTCTTTATTCATAATTACGTATCTGGACATTAAACAATTTTTTATTTATATTATTAATATTCCTGTTTTTATTACACATTTTCTTTATGCGTTTTGAAAAAATAAACCGTTTAGACACGTGACAGATGTTAAAAATTACATCTGTCAAAAGTGACAGATGACAGATGGCAAAAATGAGCTATAACAGTCTGTCATATATAATTTTTTACATCTTGCCATATTTGCCATCTGACATCTGAGATCACCTCAAGTGGACCCCCCATTTCCCACTTAATCGTATAATTTAAATTAATATATTTTAATATAAAGTAGTTTTTTACAATACAAATTTTGAGTACTTTTAATTAAAAAATATATTCCAAATCAACCGTGAAAGATAAATTAATAAAATATTCAGTATTTATTGTTAAATATCTATTATTAATATTAAAAACTTAAAATTATTTATTTATTATCCTATTGTCAATTAACTTTTAGGTAAACGAATGAAAATTCCAATGACTTCTCGGTGTAAAAATTAAACTTTTTTTATTGGTTACATGTGCTGTACATTTCAGTTTAAGATTCCGGAAAAAAAATTCACTGCTCGCGATTAATTTAACTCCGGGTGCTGCCAGCGCGCGGCCGAGTGTCTCAGACTTTCCAACTCCGGTCGGTCGTAATTAAAAATAACAATTAAAAATATTATTATTTAACAAATTTTATTTTTTTAAACATAATATAGTGAACAATAAAATAAAATATTTTTACAATAATAAACTCAAACGGAGAAAACTAACAAATAATTTGATATAATAAATTTTACCAAACTGTCTAATCTATATTTATTGTTTGTTTGTAATTTTGTAAGCTATCATTTTTTAATTTACTAAAAAATCATTTTTTGACCGAGAAGTCATTGGAATTTTCATTTGTTTACTTAAAAGTTAATTGACAATAGGATAATAAATAAATAATTTTAAGTTTTTAATATTTTAACAAAATTTAGATATTTAACAATATATCCTGAAAGTTTCATTAATTTAACTTTCACGGTTGATTTGGAATCTATTTTTTAATTTAAAGTACTTGAAATTTTCATTGTAAAAAAATTGTTGTTGAAATGAAAATTTTGAAAAACTGTTTTGGGCATTAATTTTTGATAGTGACTACTTTATATTAAAATATATTAATTTGAATTCCAAGATCAAGTGGGAAATGGGGGGTCCACTTGACGTGATCTTACTCATCTGTTATTTTTAAAACCTGACATTGTCCTCTGTCATCTGTCATTTTTGACATCTGTTTTTTTAAGTGGATAAAGAAAATGTAAAATAAAAGGTAGGTAATAATATTAATGACAAAATTTAATATTTAATATTAATTATACCTATATATACAGGGTGATTCACCTAACTTATTCATTAGAAGTTTATGGAGAACGAAAAAAGATATCGATTTGAAATTTGTATAGCAATTATAAGCCATAGTAAACTACTTTTTAAAATTATTTTCAATGCGTTATCACTTCCGGTTAAACCGGAAGTGATATCAACTTTGTTTTTTCAAATGGAACCATATAAATATTATTGCATTTTTGAATTCTACGTAAAATTATAGAAATACTAAAATTTGATTATTTTTTTTATTTTTAACAGTTTTTGAGATATTTATTTTTTTTTTTAAATTTTGACAGATGGATTGTCTTACTAATATGTCTGTATTACCACTAATTGTAATGTTAAAAAGTTAATTTTTGGTGTAACAATTAACTAAGGAGCACTCTATCGAAAGCCATTAATAGTATTTGAAAATTTTATACAGGGTGTCCGGTATTTACGTTGACTTTTTTGTCACTTCAAATACCAATAACTTTCTTATTTCAAATGAAACTACCATACAATTTTCAAATTATTGGACACAAAATAATGTTTTCTATTGAAATGCTGCAGCATTCCCTATACCTAAAATCAATATTTACAGAGATATTACAAAAAATGTGAAAAAAAACGCTTATTTTTTTATTTCTAATATGAGTAGTGTGCGTTGGATTGTCTTTTATTTCGTATTTATAAAGGAATGTCAATGTCAATGTCGCTGATTTGTTTTATTTGTTACATTTGTTTATTTTTTCAATATAATTTTTGAATTTTAAATTGATATTTCTTTTAACGTTGTTTAATACGAAATAAAAACAATCCAACGCACAAAACTGATTATACACATTAAAACTTCCTATTGTTCTTTCTAAAACTTTTCTTTTTTGATTGGTGTAATTATTATCATCCATTGTAACACAATTGTCAGAGACGTTGACATTGACATTACTTTATAAATACGAAATAAAAGACAATCCAACGCACACTACTCATATTAGAAAATA